GCCGCTGGTGGCAGATACCCACACCCTGCCATCGCGTGCAGGAAGAGATAAAAATACCAACAAAAGCAGTCAGCTGTGCAGGAAACGCCCTGACGCCTCCAAGGAGGCACTGACGAAAGGGAAAGGACCTCAAAGAGGCAAAATCCCCTCGCAGTCCGTGCAGCCGCGCTGACCTATAGCTCCACCTCTCGATTCTGCTCTATTTTATTTCGCAGTCAGCACCAGGAAGCCAGTTTGATTTCCAGAGGAGTATCATTTGACGGAAACTAATCTCTCTGCAGCCCCTTTGGGTCATGCATTATTACTCACTCGATGGTGATGGCTGGGATCTTGCTGCTGGTCCTCTCCAGACACAGGAGATGGGGTGGCTGCAGCCTGGGGGACAGCTCAGCTGCCTCAGGAGCTGACGAGTTCTGTGCTCCCTCCAGCTCATACCTGAATGTGATCCAGGATGACGCTTGGACCACAGGCTCTGGAGGCCAGATCTTGTGAAATACAAATGCCACCACGCCAGCAATGGTGCAGGCTGCCTTTTCTTGGTGATTGCATTGCCACGCATGCAGTGTGCAGCTAACAGCAAAACACTTTGGAAATTCAGGAGAGCAGTATGTGGACTTTATAGATGAGCTATCTACTATTTGTCCTATTCAAAGCTCCCAGCCCTGTGCCTGGCCCTGGGGATAATCTCAGAGCACTGGTCAGGAGCCCCTTCCCCTCCCACCCCCTACCCCCCACTGCCTGGCCTCTCCTCCTCCAGGACCACCCCCACAAGGACTCAATGTTTTGAATGTTTTTGAATGTTTTCCACTGGAAGCAGAAAAATGCATTTGGGGATTAAACTGTGTTTTCTACAGAGAATTTTTTATTTTTTTTCCATAGGGGAAAAATACACCATGAGACGCCAACAATTTTGCAGTTTTGCCTGAAATCTTAACATATTAGGATAAAAATACATTGTTTTTGATGTATTTGTTCTGGCTCTTTTTAAATGAGAGTTGTTGTTTTTATCTGGAAATCTACTCCAGCTCCTGACTGAAGGTCTCCCATCTCTTGTCCTTCGTACAACATACCAGAGACTTTGGCATCAGACACCCTGGGATGCCCACTGCAGTAAGAGCTGCCTGGCATGGCCCGCTCTGGATGGCAGACTGCACTATAGGGTTGAGCAGACCCACCTGAAGGCTCAACCAGCCTTTTGTGGCTTTCTGCACTTTCCTATGGCTTTTACTCCAGCTGATTTACCTGCTCATCTTGGCTGAGCTTCTTGCTGCATCCAGCTGCTTTATGCTGTGCCACTCTGCATGGTCCTGGGCTGGCATTAATGGCATTGCCTTTGCACAGGGGAGTGTTTGGCTTTGCTCTGTTGTACTGGTGCTGCTGGCCTGTGCAGGATTGCAGTAATTTTATTTTTGGCTCTTTGAGACTCTGCATTGGGGTGGGATGGAGATGGCACTAAGAAGGGATGGGACTGTGATGCCATGTGGGTACCTGTCCACTGCACTGCAGTGAGGAGCAAGCAATTGTCCATGGGACAGCTGCCAGGATGGGACAAAGAGAAATCCCATAGGGCAGGTCCAGGATGAACTGAGAGCATACCTGAGGATTCTTACATAGAAAAAAACAATCCCCAGAACAGCAATGCGGTGCTGGTCACGCTCTGCATGTCCCAGTGAGGAAAGCCATCAACACAAAGTCTGCCCAGGGAGTTGCAGACACATGCACCAAGCTGTCATTGCAGGAGGCTCTGACCTGGTTCTCACCTGACCATTTTGCAGCCTGAGCCTGGTGTCCCTCCTTAGGCAGTGTTGCTGCCGCCTTCCTCTTGCATGGCTGAGCCTCCTTGTGCAAGCACAGCTTTCTGTGGCGTTTCCCAGGTGCTGAGCTGTCCGTGTCACTTGATGTCATCGAGATCGCCAGGAAATGCGGAATGGCACAAGTTAGACATGGAAAAAATGTGCACTGATTTTTTCAAGACTTCCACCCCCAAAAACAAACACTTTCAATAAACATTGGACTGAAAAATGCAAGGCATATTCCAACGGTCTGCTGGGCTCCCTCGGGCAAGTGCAGATGTTTCAAGCCATCCAGTGACATCTTGCACTTAGACTCATGAGAAGAAGAGACGACGTCAGGTAAAGCAGAATCAGTGCCAAGCTCTCTTTTCACTGCCACAGAAAGGACACTTTGCAGTAGATTAAGGCGACTGGGTGTTGCTATGTCTCAGTGAGTTATCCACGTTCAGACCAATTTTGTTGTTATAGAAGTTGTTAACCCAGAAAGGTTCATCATCAAGAAGTGGGACTCAGAAAAGCCTTAACGAGGCCAAGCTCATTAGCGCAGCTCCCCCAGGACCTGGAGCTCAGGCCGGTGCTGGGCAGCGTGGCTGGACGGGGGGCTGCCGTGCCAGCAGGGCGAAGCGTGCTCAAAAACTGCTTTCTTTGAGCTGCAGCTATTTTTGGCTCCAGTAATCTGTGCAGAGATGATAAAGCTTTGCAGTGCAAAGTGAGAGGCTGTGCAGTGCTTCTGGGCAATTTCACTTCATGAGCTGCTCTCAGCCTTCCCAGCCACTGCAGAATGTTATCTCTGCCCGCTGAGCCAGGCTCCTCTGAGGGCTCACCCCAATGGGACAGATTGGACCCACAGCCCCAGATTACTTTTTTCCCCCTAGGGAATGCATTCTGTTTGGAAAGTGGGAAAAAAAAACTTTTTTTTTTTTTTTTCCCCCCCAGTCTCCAAAGTTTGTTTAAAAGCCTTTGCAGAAAGCAAATCTTGGCCGGGAGCCTTGAACCACTCATTTCTGCAGAATTCCTTCCAACCAAAGGCTCTTGCAAAATAAGTCACTGACTGGTAACCTCTTTGCAGCAGCAACAAATACAAGTAGGTCTCAAAGTCAGACCATGCAGTGATAGCACCATCCCATCCCATGTTTTACCCACGAGGTTCCCACAGCCCATTGCAGTCTCCCCCATATGCTCTATAGAAGAAGCAGTTTACCTGCTACTAGCAGGAGAAACCATGGCAGCTGTAGCAGACTACAAAACAAGCATCAATCCTGCTTGCTAAGGGATTTGTTTGTCTAAAAGTATCCAGAACCTTCTTCAGTATAAACCCACAAAGGTCATGCATCCAGCACATGCTTCACCAGAAAGTCATCCCCCTGGCCAAAGCCTTCTTGTTTGTGATTGGAGTGGATAGCAGTGAAAGGAGAGGGAAACATGCAAGTATTAAATAGGGCTCATTTTGTGTGGGTACACAAAAAAGGGCTAAGAACAACCATTGTATCTGGCCCCGGTGTTACTGCATGGGAAGCAGGTGTCCCTTCCTTTTGTCCCTCTGTTCCTGCTGCATGGGACAGCTGGATGAGCACAGGCAGCAGGCTGGGTTGGCACCTGCACTTCTAGCTTCTGGAGAAAGGGGGGTGCTAATAGGGGAGAAGTCATCTCAGCCAGCTCTGAACAAGACTTGCTAAAGGTGCCCAACCATCACATCGTTTCATGGTGTTAGGCAGCCAGACGAGGATTCCTGCTTCAGATGTGCAGAAGGCCTATAAATGTTTTGATCCTTACTTGTGCTTTCACGTGGTTTTGTTGCAGGGCTCAGAACGGGGTGCTGGCTGGTCCGGTTGTGAGGCAAAGGGCTGCAGACCTCAGGCTTTGCCCTGTGCACCCACATCGCCCCTTTCAGCCTCCTGCCCTCCTGCTGCAGGTCCCTGCATTCTGTCCAATGGAGAAGGGGTGCAGGGGCTGGATGCTTTCTTGTTGAGCAGCAGCTGGTGCAGCTGGCAGGGTGAGCTCAGCAAAGCCATTCCCGTGTCCTGAGCATCCCCTGCCCTCGGGCAGGGTGGGATTAGCTCCTTTGGAGTCTGCCAGGGCTGAGAGCAGCAGGCACAGTGTCCCTGCGATTTGCTCCAAGAGGGCTCCATGTTCTGGACAGGGAACAAAATATTCTGTCTGTGCAATGTCATCTTTTAAACATGTGGTATGAAGAGAGAGAGGAAAAATTCTAAACATTGTTACTGTCTTAATGTTGTAACTAAATATGATGCACAGGTATTTCTTCTAGTCTTACAAGGATGCTGCACTTTTAGGAGAAAATGCATCTTCTGGTTCCTTACCATCAGCTCTGGGTATATTTGCTGTATCTGTTTCAGATCCTTTCCCTCTCCCAGAGTTGGGCTGTTTGTTTGTTTGTTTGCTTTTTCTTCCAGTGGGGTGAAGTCTTCACTTTTATGCAGGACTACAGCTTTCTGGGCACAGCATTTGCTGTTTTCATGCAGTTCCCAGCTGTCACTCGCTTCTGGGGATTAAATCATTTCCTTTTGTGCCAACTCTCAAGTAGTGGTTTTCTGCTTTGTAAAACTTGGCCTGATAAAGCATTCAGTATCTTTATTTAGACTGTCCATTGCAAGTATAGTCTAGCAATGATGTTTAAATAGACACCAACTTTCTCAAGCCATATCTCCATTTGTGACTGGCCAGGTATGTTGCAGTCCACAGGTGTGAGCCATGGTGTTATCTGGAACTATTTGGCCATGCTGTGAAGGCACATTCAGGGATGCAGCCTGCACAACAGGCTCAGTGTCTGTGAAACACCCTTCCCAGGCTGGATGTGGCTGCTGGAGTCTGACTTTGCTGAGCACGGGGATGTGGCACCTCACTGCTGCATGCATTGCAGAATTACAGCCCCAAATGGCCTCAGCTCTCCTCATTGCTATGGCAACCTGCAGGCATCGTGGTGTTTGGACAGGAGGTGTGTGCTTTCCAGTGGCACTGCATGCCTTCCTGCAGAAATGAGTGTTCAAACAGAGGAACCAGGAGGGAAAATCCTTTTTATTTTGACTAAGATGCCTCATTAGTTATTTATCCAGGCCTCGAGGCACTGTAACATATCATTACTAATACAATCACATCTCAGCAGTCTTTAAGGAATGAGCTGAACAAGAATGCAGGCAGCTGGGCACTTAGAAACATTCCTTCGTGCCTCTTCATCACCATGGGAAGTTCATCCTCAGCTGTGCAGCAGCTCTGCACGCACTGCTCCTGATCTGGATGCAGAAGCCACAAGCAAGTTTGCAAACTGTTCCATCACTGGCTAATGAAAAATTGTGCAGTGCTGAGAAAAAAGATGAATGGAATAACAGATCCCATGCTTCATTTGCAGAAAGGGACAAAATAACAACAACAAAACAACAGAACCAACAATTTGCGGTTTACTAGATAAATTTAAAACACAAGATTAGAGACTTCATGAACTTGATAGGGAAAAGCTGCAGGAAGCTGTATGTGATCTTTCTGGCCCTGGGAATGACAGCTTGCTGCACGATGACAGCCTGGCCCAAAGACATGCATATGTGGAGAATTTGGTGTATGGGGGCTATAAAGGGAGTTATCACACACTGACTGATAGCCACGCTGTATGGAGGAACCTCATGCAAAGTAATTCCTAATCCAAAGTAAGCCACTGCACAGTCTTTACCCCAAGAATTAATGCTCTAGATTTATCATAATTTGCAATTTTGTCATGTAAATGGGTCATTTTGGCAGGGTTTACAGTGTGCTTATCACTGTTTGTTCATCACTCCTTCAAGCTGGGACTCCACCAGAGATCAAGCCATTGAACACTGACTACTAGCTTTGGGTACTGCCCAGCAGGAGCCACGACCTGGTGCTGGCATCAGCGCTGTCAGTGATGGCATCCAAACCACGTGTGTTTAGGAAGCAGTCTGGAGTCATTTCTCATCAATCAGCTTTTTCAGTTGGGTTCATTTAGTTCCAAGCTGGCTAATTACTGTCTTTTTACGATAAAGAAAAGACTGCAAGCCAGGCAGAATAATTCCTCCTGTTACTGGTGCCAAGATAGCATGTCTGTGCCATACGGAATGTGTCAATTTTATTAACAGTAAACAATGGCTCTTCAGTTAAGCAATATCTTAGCTTTCTCTGGCTCCTAAGCATAAAAAACAAACCAAATTTCAGTCCCTGCAGATAATGAGCAGAGATCACCACAACCACAGAGAACTCCACATCCACACTGACAGCAGCACATCCACTTCTGTTTCGCTTTGATGGCTGTTGCATGAAGTTAAGAATTAAACCAGTCTCAAATACATCCTTGGACAAACAGCTGTGGAGAGCTGCGTTGCTGGCTGTCAAGGCACAGGACTTTCCACGAGTCCCTAAAAGCATGGTAATAAATAGAGTTGTATTACCAAACATTTTAAGCAATTCATTGGAGTCTGACAAAAAAAAAAAATCTTCTCCCATTACCTCTCAAGAACAGTAAATGTGGAACTGAGCTACTACTTATATCAGAGGAACACCATTCTGACACTGAAACGCCAGTGGAAACCAAGACCTGCAAGGTGCCTTGCTCTTGCTTTCTATGTCCACTGAATGCTGCAGTAACTCACCCTGTGAGCTGGAACTGATGTGAACTTCTAGTGAAGGCCTGGTGTTCCCAAGCATGCTCTGCAGCAGGAGGCCAGGGCTGCCTTGATAAACCAACGTACACCACTCGGTTCCTGCTGTGCCAAGCATTAGGCTGGGTGCTGCTTCTGCACCGAGTGCACGTGGGCTCCATGAGTGCTGAGCCTTGACAGCTCGTGCCCAGTGCTGCCCGTGGAAAATGGCTTGATTGAGCCTCTCTCAAGCAAAGCCCTATTGAAAGCAACAACGTGACTGGAGATGGGTATTGTGTTATTAGATCCCCTTAGGGTATATATTTTGTAAAATCATCTACGATGGGAAAAACATTTATATAAAGAAGGATGTCATGACTCACTTTCCAAAGCCACGGGGATTCAGAGCAATCAGAAAATCGTTAACAGCACAGCCACCCCCTTGTAGTATTCCAGAATTTCTAAATACAGAATTCCTTTTAGATTCGGATGCCCATTTCTGTTATCTTGAAAGTATTTCTGGAACTCACAGCCTGACTCTTGGCCAGCTTTAAACAAACAAACAGGGAGAAATATTTGTGTAGCTAGAGTGGTGTTTGCTTAATGAGTCCAAGCTGAAGGATTTCATTTTTGCACTTCGTTTCTTTAATGCTTGTGAACCAAAGGGGGATGTTAAATCACAGCCATTCCAGCTATTGGCTTGGAATAACAATCATTCAACTTAGCAAATATCAAACGTGGGAAGGGATTTTATCTGACGCATCTATATGATCATGTGAACTCCTTCCCCAAGGAGAAACAGTCTCTGCTGGAGACTCAAGAGGAAGGAACTTTTTTCTCTTCTTAAAAAAAAAATTAAAAATACAACACCAACACAAGAAGCCACTGTTACATGCTAACTGCGTCCTGGCTCAAATGCAAAAATGCAACCTCTGAAATGTCAGCTGGTATTCTGGGAGGATTCACATGATGTGGAAGACTGATGATAAAGCAACATCTCGCCGGTTTCAGAACTTCATCTTGAAAAGCAGAATCACTGGTGTGGGAAACAGTGGAGAAGGAAGGCAAACACCAGCTCAAAGAAATATCTGTGGCCAGCACGATCCCACACTGCTCTTTATTGTGAGAAGAGACTGGGTCAGGCACTCATCCGACTTTAAAGGCAACACTCGGGTGGTTAAGTCAGTTCAGACCGTGCTGAGGACAGCCCTGGTCAGGCTGTGTGCTTCTGCATGCTGCTGCCTCCCAGCCCCACTGCGCAGCTGCTCACACTGTGAGGCTGTGCCCCAAGTAATGTCCCAGCAGCAGCCGCTCATTTGGGCTCTGCATTCCCTCCCTGGAAAATGAGCAGGCATGGTGCTGGGATTTGCCTCTTTCTCACTTACTGCCTGCATGGTCCTGTGGCTCTCCTGAAGCTGCACAGCTCATCGCTGTTTTTTGTGATTCCTGACTTTTCCTGCCCCTGCTGTTTCACTGGATGTTGTGCCACGGTGATCGCTGACCCAATAGGGCTGCCCAGCTGGACTTCAGTGTGGGCTTCATGTGGGAGATGGGATCACAGAGAGAGGGAAGTCTTGGTCTAATGAAAAGTATATATCAGGAGAGGAAAAATAAAAAAAAAAATATTTGAAGCAATGGATCAGGCAATGTTGGTAAGCCCGTGTGTGCAGTGCTCAAGTAGGAGATCAACTTGTTTCGTGTCCATCCACTTTTGAAGTGGCTACTTAAAAGCAGGACCTTTGATGCCCTGCACAGCTCGAGGTGCTCTACCAGCAAAACCAAGCCCAGCTCAGCCTTGCTAGGAGCAGGGAGCTGACACCTGGCTCTGTGCTAACACAGTGTCACTTGCAGGGATGGGACACGAGCCCAGCTCCAGCAGCTGCTCTCTGTTGCAAGGCTCCTCCTGGGACAGCTGCTAGCAGCAGTGTCAGAGCAGGGCTCTAGCTGCCCCAGAGGGCTTGCAAAGCTGCAACGGCCCTTCTGTGCAAGATCCTGTTCCCCAAAGGGCAACATCCCGTGCTGCTTGCAGGGATATCATGTTCATTCATTACAAAAGGACACCTTTCACTCCGTCCTCCTTTTTACCAGCCATCTGTTGCTAGTCCTTCTCATGGTTCATTCACAGCTGTCGCTGCAGATCTTTTGTACAAAATATTCCCTCCAGCATGTATATATATATGTTTAATAATTACTATAACCTTTCTTTTTTTTATTGTTGCTGTCATTTAAATGCTTCTCAATATATTTAAGTTTCACTAATGCTTCCACAAGTAATGAAATAGCTCAGTAATATCACTGGATAAAGATTAACATTTCTCCATCTGTTTTACCAATAACTTACAGCAGTTTCCAAACCAAAGCACATGATCTGAAAAGAACCGAAGTCAGTGAAAATATTTCTGGGGACATATAAGGGTTTGGAACAGAGAGATTGAGCAGAGGTGTCCTATAAAATAAATTGCTTGCCAAAGAAAACTGGAAAGGCACAAAGATTACAATTCCTCTGCTGTAACGGGAATGACTCATACAGTCGCATAGTCAGTTGGGGTGAAAAAGAAAACAGTTACTCAATCTCTCAGGGATTTAGACACAGAAGAAGATATTATGCAAGTTTTAGCAGCGTTACTAATGGCCTTGAAGCACACAGCGTTACTATGACTCTCACTCAGCTCGGCGGATCACAAATAAGATGACTCATGTGTCCATGACATGATAGGAAAATAGTCTAAGAAGAGCAGAGGCAGGTGTTAATGCAGTCACAGTGCATTCAGTCAAGAGAAGATGAAAACTATAAAATCATGAGCAAATGACTGAGGAGAAAAGAAGCCTGCATATTTGAAAGCTCAATAGGGTGGACTAGGTTGAATTTGCTGGTCTCCCACTGCAGGGGCAACTGCAGCAAGTAACACTTGATGGCCTTTGTGTGTTAGTGATGAATACGTACCTGCATCAGTGGTGTGTGGTAAGAGCATGGCCCATCGAAAGTGGTCTCAGAGCTCCATAAACTTCATAATATTTATACTTGGGAGGACTTTCTACCCTGCTAGAATGTAATGACTTTGTAGAACTATTAACTGTATCCAAGTAAAGACTGACAACTGCAAGTGGTTTCAGCCATGACAGTGCTGCACTGTTGTCTAAATGCTGACTTTCTCAGAGATGAGGGACTTTGATGGCTACTTCGAAAGTGCAGTTTAAGGTCTGTGCTGTGAAATACAGCTCAACCCAAAGTCTGAACTAAAGAGCGGCAAAAACAGTTCCCCACAAAAAAAAATATCTGAAACCCTTCGTGCCCTGAAGATCCAATCACAGTTAAAAGCACAGTTAAAAGCACTGTTTAAAGCTAAACACTTCACAGAAGTGCAATAGTTAGGTAGGTTTTATTAGAAAGCTGACACCAATACCTTAAAACTCTGAAGTTTATGCAGTCCAGTATGCAGGAAGACATTTGAGCCTCTATCCAGGTCAAAGCAGCACTACTGCAAAAACACAGATTGCACACATCTCTTTTAAAATCATACAGATGACTTGACCCAGACATTCTAATTTCAGTTCACTTAGTTAAACACTGCCTGACAGATTCTGGACATTCAAAGGATCATTTAATTATAACCTGGATCTGTTGCTTGCAAAAACACATCCCATGAAGAGCAGGAACCCTTGAATACTCCAAGGAGCACCAGGGAAAGTTTGGAATTTTTGTTATCATGAAAGGGAGACCCTGGAGATTAACAAGAATAGCACTAACGCACAAGCTTGAGTGACATTCTCCTATTAGCTCAGCTGCACAAAGAACTGCAGAGAAGTTTTTCAAATGATTCTATCTGACACAGTAGTTTTAAATACCACCTAATTTGGAGGAAAAAAAATTCTAGGTACTTCAAACAACAAATATATAGGTATTAATGAGATATAACACATGTAAGGAATTCTAATTCTTATTCTTTATTCTGCTGTCAGAAGTGATTAATGCAGCAGAGTGGGGTATTTTTGTAAAATGAGGATAACCTCCTGCCATGTCCTGTCTCGTTCCCATAGCTGACAGCAACCAGGCTGACTTCATCCTTATCGCCTGTTAGAAGTGTGTGCTTTGAGATGATGTTACACAGAATCAGAGGAGTATTTATGTGGGGAGGCAAAATGAGCACTTGGAAACGTTACGCTGACAGCCCAAGGAGAAAGCCTTCTACCTGTACTCTTTGTCTTTTCTTTGCACAATCCAGTGGAAGATCTCACTGCACTTAACAGCTCTGCTGGACAGGTATTTCCTGTAAAGAAAACAGTATAAGCCTCAGGATTTAGCCAAGCTTCATCCCTGTCCTGGTAATGCACTTATGAAGCGATCTATCCAAGATTGCTGGGAACACAGAATTTTGGCCTTTATTATGCATACATTCATGTGCACAGACAGTGAAACACCAGGGATGTGGTAAAAGCCTTCTTACACATCCAGCTGCTGCACCCAGAAGGGACGATGTGTTAACCAAAAGGCTCGGTATGATCTGAAGGAAGCACAATTTCAGTGATTTACGGCGTGATCTCCTTCTGAAAGAAGCCTGTGCCCTTCCATGAGCGAGGCTGACAGGAGGATGGTTCTGCTAACACAACGCTCCAAGCCTTAGAGCCGCTGTGGAAAGCAAGCGTCAGTTTTACTGCCTGCTTTCTGCCTTGGCGTTTCGGGTGGCAATGAAGCTGTCATCCTAACTCTTTGTCACGGAGATGGAAGCAGGCTTAGCGATGTGCAGCAGCTGGGATCACACACATCCTGCAGCCCGGCTGCAGCCCGGCTGCTTGCTCCCAACCCCGACCTCCGCCATTTCGCAACGCTGACGCTAATTAAGGACTTCCTGAGCGCTTTCCTAAGCTTGGGAGTCAACTTTTGTCACCCTCCCGCTGTTACGCCCTCACAGCCACCTCTCAGCCATGCGGTTTGCTCCCACGCCAGGCTGTTTTTCCCAGAGGACCCAGCCCAGACCCAGCGCCCAAAGGGGGGGGGCACGGCCGCAGGCCCGCCGCCATGGCGGCTGCCATGGTAACCACGGCGAGCCGGAGCGCCCCCTGTGGGCCTTAGGGAGAGAGAGGAACTGAATGGCTACGAGAAATGCCAATCAGCGCCCTCACAGCGATCAGTCTCTCTCATTGGTTATTTTGTTAATAGAACCACTTACTACTTAAGCTTTTCAACCAGTCAGCGCCTTGCTTCCGTTCCGATCCTTCCGTCCGCGGTTCCATCCTGCCTTCGTATTGGCGGGCGGCATAGAGAGCGTAGCCAATGAGCGGAGGCGGAGGCGGGGTCGCAGGGGACGGTCACCTGACGCCCGGGGCTGAGGGCGGAAGCAGGAAGTGGCCGGCGGGCCTGGTGGTGGCGGCGGCGCCATGGGGGCGGTGCTGGGGATTTGCTCCTTGGCCAGCTGGGTGAGTGGCGGCGGGGCTGCTCAACCCCGCTTCATTCCGATCGGTTTTCCTCCCCTCACCTGCACGCTACGGCGGCAGGGGCCTCGAGGTGAAGAGGGTTTGCGGGGCGGGTCTGGTGGGTGGAGGTCCGGCCTTGTCAGGGACCGCGGTCAGGATTTTGCTCCCTGGGGTGGAGCGGATGCCGGGAGGTAGCGAACCGCAGGGCTGTGGGGCAGAGGGAGCCCGGGTCGTGTCGTGTGGGGCCGTGCCAAACACGGGGTCGCTCAGAACCGCGGACCGAGCGTGACCCAATTGCGAATGGCGCTGACTGAGAGCAGCTCCGAGCCCGCAGCTGGGCTGTTCCCGTCCGCTTGTGGTTGCGCAGCTGACCTCAGCCTCCAGGCAGCGCTTTCAGCTTCAGAGAGAGCTTTGTGTTTCTTCAGATTCCCTGTCTGTGCGGCGGTGCCTCCTGCCTGCTGTGCCGATGCTGTCCCAACAGCAAGAACTCCACCGTGACGCGCCTCATCTATGCCCTTCTCCTCCTCCTTAGCACGGCTGTTGCCTGCATTATGCTGGCACCGGGGATGGAGGAACAGCTGAAAAAGGTATGGAGGAGAAAATCTCTTGTTTACTGTTGCGTATCCGGAGCTTGTGCAAATGGCTGTTGATTGGTTTTACTTGGAGTGGAACACAAAGGAGGCACAGCACCCAAATGACCTGGGAGAGTCCCTTGATTTATGAAGCTGAAACTCAACCAGGCGTGACGCTTCTCAGACATTACTGCCAACATCTGTAGCTTTCCACCTTAATCTTTCTGAATGCTTTGAATGCTTGCAGTGGTGACCTGGAGAGAAAGAAAAATGGCCGTAAGATCTGTGCAGGCTGGCTGAGCAGAAGGTTTTTTGTTAACAGATTTTCTAGAGGAGAGCTGACTGGGAACCATAGCTGTTAGAATGCTTAAAGAATGTGATTGCAAATACAGAAGTGAGTTCACAGCTAAATTTGTCTTTGCTCATTTCCTCAGGTACCTGGATTTTGTGATGAGGGGCTTCACACTCAGATCCCACATCTGAATGGCTTTGTCAGCTGTGATGTGTTTGTTGGATACAGAGCTGTCTACCGAATCAGCTTTGCCATGGCAGTGTTTTTCTTTGTCTTCTCTCTGCTCATGATAGCTGTGAAAACAAGTAATGATCCAAGAGCTGCAGTGCACAATGGGTATGTCTGTAAGCTGGCCATCTGGTCTTCTAACTTCTTTCCTCTACTTCTCAAGTTTGCCATTATGCTCAACAAAGAAATTGTTTCAGTATATGTTAGTGGTTTGAAGTTTCCTTGGAACTGAATAAAGAGTAATACTTAAGTCTTTTAAAAGGCTTCCTGTTTGTGTAACTTAATCAGTGTAATGGGAAGCTAAACATCACTGCTAACACGAAAAGGAGGTGATCATCTTCTCTGTGTTTCAGCAGAGATGCTGGATACTGTTTATTATGTATCCCCTTCCTTGTGCTGTCTGGCATTTGTTGGGTCATCCTCTGGGCCAGTCAATCTGGGACTCAATCAGAGAGTCTGCATGCAGTGCAAAGCCTTAACACCATTCTTTAGACTGTTGAACGCAATAATTAGATCTTGCTTTTCCCTTCTCCAAGTTTAATGGTACAGAGTTAGCCTTCCTTCCAGTGAGGATGTGCTGCTGACTCATGTCTATTTGCTTGGAGCAGGAGCTGCTATGCAGACTTCTGGCTGGCCTGAAGTCTGCAGCCCTTTAGGCTGAGGGCTCCCAGCCCTTCCTGTTGCCCTAGGTGCAACAGCTGCATTTACCCTTTTTTTTTCCCAATTTAGTGAACTTCTAATCCCACTACACAAAACTTCTTGCTTTATTTCTTAGGCATTCATCTGTGCACAGTGGGCTGCTTGCAGATCTTGTAAAACTTGAATGTCGTATGCAGAGTAATACCCATGCTTTCAACTTTCTTCTTCTAAAGGTTCTGGTTCTTCAAAATAGCTGCCATTGTGGGCATCATGGTCGGAGCATTTTACATTCCTGAAGGGCCTTTCACAAGAGGTACAGTTAAATCAAAATCATAAAATTCTGTTTAGTAAACCCAAACTTTGTCACAGACTTCCTGGGCTCTAGTTGTGACAGTGGAAGTTACCTTGTAGAAAACACAGATTCTGTCCTACTTCTTAATAATGTTATGGTGATCAACTGAATTAATGGCAAGAAACAATCTCTTCCAAGTACATAGGTGCTATGTATCACTAATTCAATACTCTGTTAAGTCAGCTTCTGGGAAGAGACTTCTGATGCGGTTCTGATTGGAGGCATCTCAGAATGCTGACTGTGATTAATGCTAAATAGTGCCCCAGAGTCTCTGAGAAATCTCTGCAGGATATTTTTACTGTCTGGCCACATTATGGGAACCTCAAGAGGGTTGCTGAGCCTCAGATAAATGTGGCCTTACAGTGTACACAAACAGGTCTCATGTTAGATCTTAAATTCATTCAACACCTTGGGCTAAACGTTTCCATGCTCATCAGCTACTGGGTGCTTGAAATAGCAGTCTCCTTGCATGCTTCTGAACTGTGAGTGACAGTTAGTATATAGTTTTGGGGTTTTTTGTTAATTGTCTGGAGTAGAAGTAGCTTTTATCCCTTTTCCTGGCTTAGCATGTAAATAATGACAATGAAGCTTGTTTTGTTACTCCTTTTTTCTAGCCTGGTTTGCTACTGGTGTTTGTGGAGCCTTCTGCTTCATTCTGATCCAGTTGGTGTTTCTTATGGACTTTGCTCACTCCTGGAATGAGAGCTGGGTTGGGAGGATGGAGGAGGGAAATTCAAAGTGTTGGTATGCAGGTAGGAATCTTAAACTGGCGGGGATTTGTTTTGGCTGGCCAGAAGTCTGCAGAATATCACGTACTACTTTGCAAACATATCCCAGTATGATACTGTACAGCCTTCATGAGTCACTACTGTAAACATTTGGAACTTATAACCAGAGTTGCCTTTTTCTCATTAAATAAAATGCAAAATATTCTAGGCTTGTGACTAGCAGCTCTGACAGCCATAATAAACAATGCTTAACTTGTCCAGTCTGCAATGTGAGTGCAGAGCTAGCAGCCTGGTTCTCTTCAGTTCTAACTTTGTTTTATCACCCTGTTGCCTCAGAAGGTCAGTTATGTCAGTGATAGTGGCTGCAGTACAGCAGTGTGCCTTGGCACATTGCTAACTTCCCTACTGAAATTAATGCTAATAGTTGTGGTTCTTTGTTCATAGATGTCAATGCTGTAAAAGCATTTTCTAGCTTCATCTCAAGAATACACAAGAATGAAAATGTAAACAGTGGCCTTCAGCCCATGGAAGGTGTGCAGAAAGTGCTGTCCTTTTGGGTGCTCTGGCTTGTGACCAGCTGAATTGCATCTGGAAAACAGATCTTGTTCCCCTGATGAAAGCATTGGCTTTTCTCTGAGCCACGCTGCCCAGAGAACCAAAGCAGGCATCTGGCCACATTTAATAAAAATGCCTTCTGCTAGCGTAGCTTTCTTAATCAGGTTTGGATGTGAGGAAGGGGAATGGTCCCTTTACACTGGTTGTTAACCTTTAAATCGCCCTAGTTGTTCTGTTAAAGCTTTATGTCCTTATTCTAATAGTTATTTTTCCCCCTTCAGCTCTGCTGTCCTGTACAAGCTTGTTCTATGGCTTGTCAGTGGTTTTCGTTGTGCTCTTTTATGTTTTCTATACAACACCTGAGGATTGCACTGAGAACAAATTCTTCATAAGCTTCAATATGATCCTGTGCATTGCTGTATCTGTTGTTTCCATCGTTCCAAAAGTTCAGGTACTGTTTTTCTTTATTTTATTCTGGTATACAATGCAGGAAAGTAAGAAGGGTGTCATACCAACGCAGCCAGGCAGAATTGTAATGCTTGGCTGCCATAACAATGCTAGCTGGGGATATTTAAGGAATAAAGATTTAAAAAAAAAGAAAAGCTCTGAGACAGATGCATTCTGTGGTGATGCATTTCCTGAAGATAGGCTTTTTTTTGTTGTTTTTTTGCTAACATTGTTTTGAGGTTTCCGTGGGTGTCACTGCTGGCATGGCTCTGGTGGTGAAGGTTCTGGCAGAACAAAGAGCCCATAATGGAAAAAGTAACATAAGAACAGAATTTATTACTGTAATGCTCCCGCTTCATAATTGTGTAAGAGTTTAATATCAGTAGGAAGCTTTCATGTTACTTGATTCTGAACTGGCAGCTCCAAATTGCATACTAGATTCATATCCACAAAACTGTTAAGCAAGTTGGGGTTAACTCAGGAAAAATCTGTAGCTGAGTCTTGAGCACAGAAGATCTGGGTTTGGTTTCTTTAGTCCTGCTGTGTTTGAGTTGCTTGCTGTGTGAATTATATATTATTTAAGTTTTATTACTCCTGTTTTTTAAACACTATGAAGCCCGATGCATTTCTGAAAACTGAAATTCATAGGTATTCATTTACCTACAGTGGCAGCTGCCCTTTTCATGTTGGCTTGTCTTTCAACAGGAATATCAGCCTCGATCTGGCCTCCTCCAGTCCTCTATTATTACCTTTTACACCATGTATCTCACTTGGTCAGCCATGTCC